ACAGCAAGGATCCTGTTGGGAGCCAATGTGAATCAACATGGCAAGGCTGGAAGGGGGCATGGTGGGTAAACAGGCTACAGGAGATACAAGCACGCCATGCTATATCTTCAAGAAGAAAGAACTGATATGCAAACTGACCATGTCAGCATGTATCTGCTTCCTTGCTTGCAGTGGCCTAATGTAAACAAATGGGCAGAGCAAACCGTGAGATTACTGGGCTTGTTTCGCCCATTTGATATTCTGAGCTATCTTATAACACAATAGCATTTGGGTCTGGGAGCCATATATTTAGAGAATATATTTTTATATATAAGGAAACAAAGAATATGAGAATATAAAATATATATTTTTTTAAAATTCATATTAGTGGTCCGCGGGATTTAAAATTATGAATTTAGTGGTCCATGAGGTCCGAAAGGTTGGCAACAGAGGCGGCTCCTTAATTAGGCAAATTAGGCGGTCGCTTTAGGCCTCGCGTTCCCGAGGGGCCTTGCGGCCGCCTAGTTTGCCCTGTCAGAACGGCACATCACCTCGCTCGCAGCCAGGTAACGTTGTGAGCTCTCAGCCCTGTCGCTGTCAAACTGACAGGAGCGATAGCGACAGGGCTGAGAGCTCATCCGTTTCCTCGATCATCTGTGCGGTCCATCCACTCTGTCTTCTGGAGCTCCGCCCACCAGCCAATGAGAAGAGACCTCACCCCTCCCATCCACCGCACGAGGATCTCTGGCTTATCTTCAGCAGCAGATGGAGACGTCGGCGGGGCCGGCTGGTCCTGCCAGCTCCCGCCCCCGAGACACGGCCTCCACAGTACTGGTAAGTGGCGGCCTGGAGAGCCCTAAAGAGAATTCTGAGAAGAGCCCTGTGTAGTGCAGGTGAGAGCCCTGTGGAGAACCCTGTGTAGTGCAGGTGAGAGCCCTGAGGAGAGCCCTGTGGAGAGCATGTGAGAGCCCAGGGTTCTGTGAGGTCTCACCAGCGCTCTGTGGGGTCTAACCAGCCTTATTAGACCCCACAGAGCCCTGGTGAGACCCCCACAGAGGGCTGCTACCCTGGTGAGACCCTTTAGAGCCCTGGCGAGACCCCCCTCAGAGCTCTGGTGAGACCCCCCCCCAGAGTCTTCGGAAAACTATGGGGAAAAGTGCTGACCCCATATTCTTTTCTATGGGGCTAATAGAGACTGGCAATGGATTGGTGTTCCACCCTTTTCCACTATGCTACCAAAGACTGACATTTTCCATAGGACTGCTAAAGAACGGCACTAACCATGTTCATGGCAGTAAAGCATTCTCCACAAAGGATTTCCAGTAACATTTTAAATTTTGTCTGTTTTTGATTTTAGCCTGCTATGATTCATGTTTCCAATTATATCCACCTTCAGCTTTATATAGGTAATTGGTCCTGGTGAAACATAAAAGATGCAACATTAGATAAACTTTGCCATGCTTTTCCCAGTTATAAAAAAATACTCTTTTTTTTCCCCTCTACATGTTCATAGACCAGAATGTGTAATTTAGGATGTGTTAATCTGTCCCTCTCACCACCTTTATTTTATTTTTTCTTCAATTATAATTTATTTTTGATGAAGGCAAGTTGACATGATTCATTCTTCTCTCACACATTAGAGGAAAGAACCATTATTATCACCACCATCCTCTATGTAGACTCTGTGAAAAGGTGTCAGGTCAAAAGGGTTCTTCTGTTTAATGAGGTCATTCTAATTGTTTGGGCATCCTTTCATATTGAGTAATATGTGGATCATAAATGATACATTACATGCCCCCTCTTCCATTTAATAGATTATCACCATTTTCTTCCATATACTGAAGAAGTCTCGTGTAAAGCTCTTTAAGCATCTTAATCATTTGAGGTCACTAATGCTCATAAATATACTTTATCTTATTAAGGCATTTAAATAATGAAAAAAGCTAAGCTGATTTCACACTATAAAATGCTAAGGCCTAGCCAGTGTATTGAGTTCACTTTTATAAGTTCCAGTCAGCACAGCTACCAAATGTCATTTATTTGGAGGGATAATATTTGTCCTGGAAGATTGTTCCTGCAGGTCCAATCAGTTCTAAGGTTTGGAATTCTGTCATTTTACCCGATCAATGCACTATATGATTGATACAAAAAACCCCGGAGAATATGGGCAATAGAAGTGTATCTATAGTGAGCTATTGATAGAGGTGTATCTACAGGAAATTGTGCCTATGGCAAGCACTGAAATTGTGCCCCTTTGCAAAATATGACATCCATATTTTACATAATAATATCAACTGAAAAAATGCAAGTCAAACTCGTTAACCTTTGATTAATAAATGATGGCACTACATGAAAATTATAACCGCACCTTTCTTGCTTTCAGTGATCCACATTGGTTTATGATGTGATCAAAGTAAATTTTTTCAGTTTCTTCTTCCTTGACCCCTTTTATCAGAGCCCCCCTTACATAAGTGTCCCCCCTTGAATCAGAGTCCCATCTTACATCAGAGTCCCCCCTTACATCAGATTTCCCCCTTACATTAGAGTACCCAGGTTTAATGACCAGGTGACAGCGACCACATCTGTAAATGGCAGTCCACATGTAATCATGAAAGTGAAGAAGGCTCAGTATCCCAGGGGCAGCATCCTCTGTTTCCCCAAACTGCATTGCCTGGAGGCAGATGTCTCAGGAGTAAGGATTAGGTATTTACACTGACCACCAATGTAGGCCCCATTCACACAGGATTTTTAATGTGCGTTTGGGGATTCCTGGGGCAAGAACCTATGCATTCTTGCAGCTGAAATGCCAGTTTTCCCCGTTCAGATGCAGCCACCGTGCCCATTCACGTGAATAACAGGGTGACAACGGCTGCATCTGTCTGTGGCTGTCTACATGTAATCATACATGGTACAATTACCTGTGGATTGGGAGAGTTGCATGTCCCTGGATGCAGAGAACTTGCTTCTCCGGACAAGCATCCCTCCCGATCCCCTGGTAATTGTATCATGTTCGATTACATGTGGATTGCCAATAGTGACAGTGACCACCGTTAACCTCTGTATCCCAAAACCCTTCTCACTGCTCACCTCTGCACCCC